ACTGTGTAGCTCAGGCTGGCTGGCCTAGAACCTGCTGTGTAGCTCAGGCTGCCCTTAAACTCCTGATTCTCCTGCCTCTGCCCTTGGTGTTAAGATTGCATGTATGCTCCATTACACCCTCTTATTTTCAGAAATTATGCTGGTTCCCACATCTCTTCATCTGAAGAGAACCCATGCTGTGTTCTCTGGCTCCCCTGGGTCCTGGAATAGCATCTAGTAATCAAGAGTCTTCAAGATAAATGATAATGCTGGTTGAAGCAGAGAGGTGGAAGCAGAGCCCAGCAACCAAGTAATGTATGGAGTCTGAAAACACCTAAGCAGCACTACACCATCTGCAATGAACTTGGTTTATTGTTAGACTTGGAGGTGGCTCTGTTACAGCAGCTGGGAACTATAGCAGGGAAGTTGGGGCCAGGGGGGAGCAGAGCACAGCTCGGGGAGGAGAGCTAAGAAGAACACAAGGTGAGCTCATTTTTGTTTCCCAGTTGATTGGTAAAGGTGGCAAGCCCCGGTGACTGTCAGCGTCTGAGTTTCTCAGTCCAGTCTTCTGGCAGGGCTGCTCACTGGCTTGCTTGGGGTGAGGTCCTCTCCTGTAGTAGTGTTCAGCCTGCCTTCTTTTCACTCAGTTAAGCTAAAGCTCAGCTGCTTCTCCCTTTCCCCCCTCCCTCTCATTTTCCCCAAGTTCTCTGCCCTGGCCTCCACCTCCCAGATCCTCTGTCTAAGAGTTCAGGTTTAGAGAGGCAGCCATCATTCACATTTCAGCTGCAGGATGGTAGAGGATTAGAATGTTGGGGGAGTCACATGGCTGAAGTGTCAAATGTTGGGATGTCAGGCAGTGGCTTATTTTTAACCCATTACACACCAGGCCATAGCAGATGACCACATGCAGAGAAGCCAAGCGGGATGAGAAGGGATCCGGATAATTGGAGTGGGGTAGGTGAAGACTCCAGTGGGTCAGGGAGCTTGGAAGAATTCTGGGATTGGGGTTGGGACTCTCTTTGCCATTTTGTGCTGCCCAGGTAACCTAGTGTGGGCCCAGCCTTAGGTTGTGAATGATAAGCAGGGGCTGGGAGATAAGCTCCTTTCTCTTCTCTTCAGATTCTTGGTCTAAAGAGCTTCAAGTTTTGGATTGAGACATTCAGATAATGAAGGAAGCAATAGTACAGTGTAGCAGCCATGAACCCCCAGGCCCCTGCTGGAACCCAGACCCTGGTGGCTAAGGGCATGGGAGATGGAGGAAAGGGAGAAGCTCTGGGCACCTCTCAGTGTCCTTCTCTAGGTCATATACATCATTGACAATCCTTTCTGGAATGCTAAATAAATAAAGAGGTCCCTGGGGCGGGGGGTGGGGGTTTATCTCCCGCCATTGAGGGTGGAGTGTACTGAGACCTGTCCTTACTCCTTATCCAATACCAGCATTTGGCAGTGCTAGGAGAGGGACTCACTCCAGGGTTCTCAGGCATCAGATGACCTATCCTAATTTTGTATCTGTCCCCATTTTATCCCTGTTACCTTTGGTTTTGAGGCCCCCAGGAACAGATGAAGGAAAGGACAATACCTCCCGGTTAGCCTAAGTCCTTGCAACATGACATCACCCCTCCCCCCTACCCAGCTCCATCTCTCTCAACCCCCCAAAACCAGAAGTAGCCATTCTCTAAAGGAGTTGTGGGAGTGGATCCTTGGGGAAGGGAAGGTGTTTCTTTCAGAACTCAATCTTGCAGGCTGGGAAGGACTCATCCTGCATAACCACAGTGCTGCTGCTAGCCAGGACTAGGACGTTCAGTTGCTGCTGTTGCTCATGAGTCTGCTGGTACCACTCACGAGTCACCTCCGTGTCATGAGTGGGAATCAGAGTCACCTAAGAGGGAGACAAGATACGCCTGAGGTGAGAATATGAAAGAAAGATAAGTGGGGGAGAAAGGACATCTGATGGTGTGGGAAACAACCTGCTGTCCACAGAAAAGACCCTCCTATTGTGAAGAGGGATTCAGTTCCACTATTGCCTCTGACAGAGTTTTGACCAGAATACTTCCTTCGTGTCTCTTGCCACTCACCTGAAGGTTCTCTCCCCACTGGGCCTTGCCCTCCAGCAGGGCATCCAATACAGCCCGGCTTGGCTCACCATTGGCAGGATCATTCCCACTAACCACGTAGTAAGATGCACGCACTCGGCGGAAGAAATCAAGATCAGCAGTCTTGCCACTGCAATGATTTGGGATATAGGCAAGATCCACGTACACAGGAGGGCCAGAACTGCCCTTGGAACCCAAGGCCACTGTAGAGAAAGCCAGAATACATTGTAGAGGAAGAGAATACTTGGCAACCTTCCCCCTTTCTCATATTTCTCTTCTGAAGCCTTTGACCAACTAATACCCATCCCCAAACCATAGTCTTCCCACTTTTCCTGATATACTTACAGGGTCCTGCTTTGAGTCCATTGACTAAGCCTTTGGACATGGGGCTGTGTCCATCCTTTTCCTCTGCTGGGGTGACCTGGCTTGGAGTACTGCGTGGTCGGGGTAGGGCCCGAGATGCTCGATCTACAGGCCCTTTACCTGGGGTAGGTGAACGTTTTCCCCGAAGATCCAGACGCCGTGCAGGAGATGCTGGCTTAGCCCGGCCTGGAGCCCTGCGCCCCACTCGTCCCTGCACCTTTTCCTTTTCCCGTAGTCTCTCAACCCTCCCAGACTCTGAGCTGAGTCCCTCAGGGTCAGCCATGCAAACGTCCGGTCGGGGAGGAGATGGGCGAGGGTCTGGCTGGGGGGTTGGGGGTGGGTCATGGCCAGGTCTGGGATGGTGAGTTCCACTGACACCCCCAGCTTTGTCCACAGGCAAGAAGTCCCCATCTTCATCAGAGTCAAGGGCTGCTTCTGCTGTGATGGATGGACACTCCTCAGTTTCTGGTGGGACATCAGAGTCTGACTGTGAGGAGCCTGAGTCACTGGCTGATGTGGGGGGTGTCTCATCAGCCATAGGGCATGGGCCTCCTGTGGCCCCTGGACCTCCTCCTGCCCTCCGCCGGCCCCCTTTTCCTACTAGGCGAGCTTCTTCAGTTGAAAGGTCACTGTCATCTGTGGATGGGGGCAGAGGTGGGTTCAGGAAGGATGGGGAGAGCTCCCCAGAGTGGGGCCGGGGTTCGGTAGCACATCCCTGAGGTCCAGCCTCAACTTCAGGAGAAACACTGCAGGGTGGGCCCCCAGAGCTCTTTCCAGGACACAGTGGCTGCTCAGATGGGAGAAGTGTGTCAGGCTGGGAGCTCCTCTCAACTCCCTCAGGCCAGGACCCTCGTTCCCAAGCAGAACAGGCCTCAGCCTCTTCTTTCTCTGCCTTGGCTATGGCGAGGCCTGAGGGATTGGGGCTGGTTTCTGTAGGCCCATTGGATGCACAGTCCCCAGAGGGGCTCTGGAAGGGGCTTGGCTTCTTGGTGCTTTCCCCTGAGCACTCCAAGCGGCAGGGCAGAGTACCATCATCCATGTCTCCAGGCAGGCTTGGAGCTGGAGCCAGATCTAGTGAAGCTGGGGGTGCTGGGCTCAGAGGAGCGAGGTCCCAGAGGCTGTGGGCAGCTGGTTCTACTCCTGTGCCCATTTCTCCAGAAGCCTGTTCTGCAGGCTCTAGGCCCAGAGGGAAGTGTTCAGCCACACTTGAAATCACAGGTGTAGTAGCCTCAGAGGAGGACCCTTCAGACAGGGCTGGTGAGGCAGGTCGTGGCAGATTGGAGAGGAGAGGGGCCCCAGGAGAGCTGGGTGATGGGAATTGGGGAAGTGAGGAATCCAGGCTGGGGGCCTTGGTCACTTCTAGGTACTCATCATGTCGGGCTCTGGTCGGGGGTCCTGGAGCCAGAGCCAGAGCTCTGTCCCCAGAGAAGGCAAGGGAGCCACAGGGTGCTGAGCGGGGTTCAGCTGGAGAGGGCAGCTGAGGGGGAGCAGGCTGCAAGGAGGAGAATCCAAAGGCTGAAGCAGGAAAGTCCAGACTTGGCCGGGCAGGGCCTATTTGTGAGTCTGAGGAGGGGCTGATATGTGCCTCAGTTTCAGGCCATAATGTTGGGGGGGCCACAGATATTGGGCGAGGGGGACTTGGGGACTGAGTTTCTTTCTCTGGCTGTTCCTGAGCCCCCTTCTCCAGTTCTGAATCACTGGTACTATCATCCCAGTGACCCTGGCCTGATTCTTTCTGGGATGGGGTCCTCCTATCTGGGCTGCAGCTCAGGGTATTACCATTAAGAGTGGGGCTTAGGTCTTTGCTTGGGGGGATAGGAGCACGGGGGGGCACTGCAGGTGGAGTGAGGCTACCCTCCACATTTGGCCCTGGCTCAGGCTCTTGCCTGAGAGGTACAGCGGGTCCTGCCAGGGCTGCATAGCTAAAGGTTGGGGTGTCAGATTGGAGGCTTTTGGGTGAGATAGGAGAGGAAAGCTCTTTTTCTGCAGATGTGTTGCGGCCTGCAGCCTCCTCCTTGGTTAAGAGGAGTGGGGGCCAATCTCCAGCTGCTCCCAGTGGAGGCTCCCTTGTGGGGCAAGCAGGGCCCAGCCCCGTAAGCATCATCTGCTCATAAATGTCTGCATACTGAAAGCTTCTCTCATCAGGGTAGGGTGTGGGCTCTCTCTGCTCTGGCTCAGTATCTCTGGTGGCATGGCTCTCATCAGCCTCTGGGACCTTTGAACTGTGGGGGCTGCTGTCAGAAGCCCCAGCCCCACCCTCTCCTTCCCTTTCCCCTTCAGCTTTGCGATAGTCCTTCCCCAGCGGGGAGTATGGTCCACCTTCCAACTCAGCTGCCCCCTCCTGCACTGCAGCCACCACACTGTCGTACTCTGCTACACCCCAGGAGAAGGGCACAGGAGTATGTGGTTCTGGGGCAGGTGTGGGAGGAGCTGGGGCTGGAGAGAGGGGGGCAGGGGGCAGGGGTCTGTCCTTAGGTACCCACGGTGGGATCTCAGCTAGCCATGAAGGAGTGGTAGGTTCATTCCTCGTGGGCGGCATGGGCTTAGTGTCCCGGATAGGGCTTTCTTGTCTTGGGGCTGGAGGAACTCTCTGTCTAGCCATCTCAGGTGGGGAGGCTGGAGGTGAGATGATCTCAAAGGGAGAGCGAGTCAGCTTGTCCTCTTCCTCTGGTGGAAGCCCAACTGGCGACTCAGCAAGCCAGCGTTCTACCTCCAGCCCTTTCTGTGCCAGGGGCTTCTGGAAATCTTTGAAGTCTGAGGCCCAGGGACTCCGGGGAGTGTGCTGCAGATGGCGTACCTCTTGTTCATCTGGCCCCTCATCAAGAAAAGTACTTTCACGTTCCTCTGAGTACTGTGGATGGGCCCCCTGGCCATCAAGCTCATGAGGGAACCAGACCTTCCTTTCACAGCTTAGCTCTCTCCAGTATGCATCTTGCTCTAGGATCACATCTCTGTCCCTCCAGTACCTGACTTCCTGCTCAGGAGATGTGCCCTCCCATGCTGGAATAGGCTCTTTCTGTCCTCCAACTGGCTCTCCTCTGATTGGAGGTGTTTCTTGCCATCCCTGGACCATGTCCTGCTCCTTCCAATATTTCTCTGTCTGTTCTTGGGCCTTGCCCTCCTGCACTGGGCTCTCTTCCAGTCTCAGAACTCTGGTCTCCAGAACAGCTTCCTCCTTCTGTTCCACAGCCTTGACCTTTTCTGGAGACTTTTTGTCGAGGATTGTCTCTTCGGGCTTCATGGTTTTACCTTCCTGGAAAAAGCTCTTCTGCTCTTGAGTTCTGTCCTCCTCTTCCAGAGCTGTATCTTTCTGTTCAGCAACCTTGTCTTGTTCCAGAGCTTCATCCTTCTTTCTTAAAGCCAAGTATTTTTGCTCTAAGGCCTGGTCTTCCTTTTCTAAGGCATCATCCTTCTGGTCTTTGGCCATACTTTTCTGTTCAGGAGTTCCGTCTGTCTGTCCTGGGGTCTTGCCTTTTGGTTCAGGGATCTTGCCCTCTGGAGCTTTGTCTTTCTGTTCAGAGTCATATACTTTTTGTTCTAATGTTTTATCTTTCTTTTCTGGGGTCTTATCCTTCTGTTCTAAGAGCTTGTCTCTTTGTTCAAAATCTCTGTGGTTTGATTCCTTGTCTTTTGGTTCAAGGGGTGGGGCCTGTTTCGGGGTTGTGTCCTTTTGTTCTAAGGCTTTGTCCTTCTCTCCTGGGATCCTGTCCTTCTGTTCCAAGACCTTATCTTTTTGTTCTAAGTCCCTGTCTTTTGGTTCTGGAGCCTTGTGCTGTTCTCGAGCTGCATCCCTTTGGTCTACATCTCTGCCTTTCTGTTCTGAATTCTTGTCCTGCTGTCCCATTGCCTTGTTCTCTTCTTCTAGAGCCTCATCCTTCTGATGTATGACTGAGTCCTGATCTACAACAGCAGCCTTTTCCTGCAGAGTTTGGCTCTTCTGCTGTAGGATTTCATCCTGAAGCTCAACTTCCTTGTCCTTCTGTTCTGCAGTTCTGTCTCTCAACCCTGGAACTTTACCTTCCCACTCCATGGCAAGGTCCTCCATGGCAGGGCTTGGCAAAGACTCAGGACTCTTGGTGAAGGAGCTGTCAGATGTCAGAATGTGTTCTCCAGGGCCTTTGACATCCCCAGGTGAGTGTTTCATATCTTCTGACAGGGCAGAGTGAGAGAAGGAGCTGGCAGGTAATTTTCCAGCAGGGCTCTCATCTGTGACATCTTCCGGTGCAGAGTATCCAGTGGTCCTATCTGTGGGAGGTGACACTGTGGCTGCATGAGGCTCTGGAATATACATAGGAGCTAGGTGATGAGAGGTGTCCTCAGACTGTATCAAAGGCCCCTTTTCTTCCTTTCCAAGGCTTAGTTCCCCAAACTGAAGGGTGCCAAGGTTTTCTGGAGAGAGCTGCTTTGAAGAGATATCCAGAGATGTCTCCTTGCTGGGACTTTCTTCTGAGAAAGAAAGTGACTGAGTATCTTCTGGAGATACCTCTGGCCAAAGGCCTTTGTGTAGGTGCTGCTCTTTCAGGTCACAGGGAGACTTGGGAGTGGCCTCTTGTTTGGCAGTGTCTGGGGAGACTACACTGAGGACAGACAGGGACTCTGCATCTTCAGGAGAGAGGCTTCTATCAGGAAATTGGAGCATCTCATCTTTCAGAGGTTCACCAGGTCCTTCAAGTGATGCCCTCAACTCTCTGGGCAGGGCTTCTGCTCCCAGATTTGAGCCTGAGAGCCCAATTCCTGGCTCCATTGTCTCAAACACTATTGCTTTGTCTTGTTCTGGTAACAGTTGAATGGTACAGCCAGTATGACCCTCAGTAATGCTGATAGGGGCATCCTGGGCCTGGTGGCTCCTGGAAGGTGGTTCTTTCCTCTCATCTAATATGCCTTCTTCAGGCCCTGGCTTGCCTGTCTGTTTTTCAGCATCTTCCTTGCTCATACCTTGTGTACGCTTAGTGTCTCCCCAGGAATCTTCTTCTTGAAAGTCTTGAGGTTCAGACTTTTCTTCCACTGGGGACTGATGAAAGGGTGTATGGGTGGCACTGGGTGGGCCAGATGGTGGAGGAGAAGCCATCTTCACTGTGCTATCGTCGGGGCTGAGGCATCGCTCCTCTACTTCTCCAAGGACTGGCTCCCCTGGATGTAGGGCATGCTCAGGGGCACTAAACATGGTAGTTCCATATTGACTGTGAAGTTTCTCAGACGTTGCTACCTTTGTTTCCTCTTCCTCTTCCACAGCTCTCTCCCCAGTCAAGCCTCTCCCTATAGCCTCTCCTTTTTTCTCTGATTCTCCAGTCACAGAGAAATCCTCATAGGGTGGAGATTTGAAGCCCTTGTCTTCTTCTAGTGAAGAGGTGGGTGAGATGGTACCAGCTGATGGCACATAGTCCAAGCCCTGAGTGGCTTCAGTGCGGGAGGAGGGTATACTTGTGACTGTGTCAAGCAGCAAAGAGCTCTTGCCTGTCTCTTCTGTCTGTGGAGCTGTGAGTGAAGCCACAGACTGGTCCTCAGCCACTGATGTGGCAAAGGAAGAGAGCTTGTCACACTCAGTGATTGAGGTGGCTGAAGACACATGTTCCTCTTCAGCCAAAGGTGCAGCCACCATGTTGGGAGGATAGGTGAGTTCAGTCTCAGGGGCTCCATAACTTTTGCTTGAGGTGGCAGGAACAGCACTGTCCACAGGCTGGCTGGCTTCAAAGGGGCCAGGACCTTCAGGCCCAGAGAGGTCATAGGTACTTGTAGGAAATCTGGGTGGAGCTGGGCGTTCCTCTGGCTCATCATGGATCTCCTCATCTGAGATAGTCTGCTCAGTCTCTGAGTAGCCAGGAATTGTCTCATCCTGAATGTAAGAGACATGCTCCGTGGCTCCTGCAGGTGTGGCCAGGCTGCTTAGGAATGATGAGGTCTCCTTCTCAGGGGCCTTGCCCTGGAATCCCAGTTCCCGGCCCCCAAGAGCCTCCCTGCCCTTTGGAATTACCTTTAAGGCTTCTTGCTTATGTTTCTGATAAAAACTCTCAGCCTTTGTTTCTTCCTCCTCCTCCTCCTCCTCCTCCTCCTCCTCCTCCTCTGAAGGGTGTACCTCCTCCATTTCTTCTAACTCAGCCTTTTCTATCACATCCTCCTTTACCTCAGGTTCACTTTCCTCTCTGGCTTCAGCTCTTTCTGGGTGCTTCTCTGCTTCACTCTGCTTCTTTTCCTCCCAAGTATCTTTCTCTTCCTCTGTCTCAGCCCCTGAGTCTTGGCCTCTGACCTTGCTCCGTTTATCTTCAGGGATGTCTTGGACAGGCTCTTTCTCTCTCATCACATGTTCTTGTTCCAGTCCTGGGACAGAGGGTTGTGTTCCCTGGATAGCTGTGCTTGGGGGTCCCTCCTCTGTAGTGTCTATGGGGAATGGCTTCTCTCCAAGTCCTGTGTCCCTTTGTTCAGCCAGCAAACCCCTCTCCTCACACTTCAACTCCTCAAAGTCCTGTGTGAGGTCCTCTGGTGAGGACAAGGCCAACTCTTTGTGACCACTGACAGCTGCAAGTGGTACAGCCCCCTTCTGGGCTGGGGGTGTCTGGGGCTCAGATGTCAACTCCTTTTCCCCACGAGAAGCCCGGCCCTTGTCTGTCTTGATTCTTCCAGGGGCCTTGGCTTTATAGAGGGTCTTGCGGACCTCAGGGGTGAAGGGCTTCAGGTCTGGTTTGGAAACTTTCTTGGCTTCAGGTTTGGCATCTCTCCTCTTCTCATCCTTCTTGGCATCCTTTTTCTCCTCCTTCCTTCCTTCCTCCTTCTTCAGCTCCTTCCTTTCCTTCTTGATCTCTTTTTTCTCTTTGTCTTTTTTCTCTTCCAGCTTTGATATCTTTTCTTTCAGGTGTTTCTTCCCCACCTTGTCCTTGATCAGCCTTCGCTTCTCTGCCTTCAGGGCCTCACTTGATTCTGTCCTCACTCTTTCAGGCTTGGCAGGTTTCTCTGGGGGTTTCTCAGCGGGCTCCCTTGCCTTCTTCTCTGTCTTGGCTAGCTCCTTGGCCAGCTCTGAGCGTGCTTCCTTGGCTCCCTCTTCTGCCACTTCCTCTCGTTTGGCTAGCTTGCTCACTGCTGTCTTGGGAGCAGCTTTCAGGCTCTCCTTGCTGTCAGCCCGCTGTTTGATTTTGCTGGGCTTCAGGTTGGCAGGCACAGCCCCAGCAGCCAGGTCCTTCTGTGTAGCCACAGGATAGCGTAGAAAGTCCAGATGCCGAAGCTTTTCCAGGCCCTCCAAAATCTTGTTCTGGGGAGCATTTCCTGGAAAAAGCACACGCACAATCTTCTCAGTAGGGTTGGCTGGGAGCCAGACTACCAGAGCAGTAATAGAGGTCAAGTAGGGCACAGAGATCTCAGCCTCCTTCCCATTGGCCAGTACAATGCCAGTCTTGGCTTTACTATTGCCTGCCCACTTCTGCATGAGGAACTGCATCTCTTTGCTGTCCTTAACAGGGTTGAGGACATACATGTCCAGCCGACCCACACCCATTTTGTGGAAGAGGGTTAGTGGCTCGATGGTGTTGCTGACCACACGATACAGAGGTTCAGCCTGGATGCCCAAGCGGTTTAGGTGCTGAAGAGTGAGGCAGGCCTCCTCAATGCTGCGCTTGGCCTTCCGGGAGGCATCAGGCAGCCGGAGCTTATCAGGTACATTGAAGAACACGACTCCAAGCTCAGGGGAGATGAGGTTCTTCACCCAGTCGCTGTAGCTGCTGGAACCCTGAGACTGCTCCTCCTCTAGCTCTGCCACTTTGCGCTGCAGGAGTCCATTGATGCCTGGCAGATTGTCAGCCCCAATGTGTGTGAGCAGCACCGAGTCGATGCGGTCCAGATGCCTTACCAGCTTCCAGAAGCAAGACTTGCGATCAGAACCACCATCCACTAGAATGTTGAAACCATTGACAGCAAAGAGAGCAGAGTCCCCACGGCCACCGGGGAAGATGTAGCAGCAAGGCTTGGAGAGCTTGAGGAAGCCTCCTGAGGTGGGGGGTTCAAGCAGGTCAAAGGGGGATGGCACATCCACAGTCTCAGAGACATATTCGGAGAACTCAGCCACACCATCCATGGTGGGTAGCACAGGCTCAGGGTTTAGCTGGAGGTGCAAGGTCTCCTGGGAACTGGACAGTCCCAGGTGGCTCCAATCACCCTCCCCTAAGCAGGAAACAGTGAGGAAGGCCTGGATCCCAGGGTCTCTATTGCTGAGCAGTTGGGCAATCTAGAGGAATGGGAGATAGAAGCTGATCAGGTCATTGGGACTGCCTTAGGCTGCCTCAGATTCAGTCCTCTAATCTTCACCTCTTTGCAAGAACACATCCCACCTGTCAGGACTGATGGTCAAGTAAAATGAGACTTTCCCTTCCTTGAATTCCTATCCTGAATCCAAGTCCTGCCGCTTATCCCTTTCATCCCACTCAGCAGAGAACTTACCTCTGGGTTGTGAAGGACCTGGGAAAAATTTTGATAGGAGTAGGTACCACTCTGTAGGATAAGATCTCCCCCAGGCTCTAAACTTTGTCCACTCAAGATCAGTAGTTTGTGAGCTGATGAACTACTAAGAAGATGGTGAACCTGAAATGGCGGAAAGGCAGACTGGTCACAGATATGGGGAACCCAGAGTAAGATACCTCAGTAATGCAAACACATGTTCCTCACTGGTATCCCCCAAAATACCTCCAAAGTGAGGCTGAGGATTATAAGTCAGCTTAGATAGTAGACAAGAATTTTTGGCCTTAATGTCATGGTACTGACATGTGGGATTGTAGCACTTGGAACAGGCCTCTTAGCAAGGCACCAGCCCTTGGCCTTACCTCAGAGCTGATGCTTTCTGCACTTGGGTTGACTAGAATGATGGTCTCTAGGATCTCACTCTGGTGGCAGAGGGTCCTCTGGCCTGAGGAAGAGACAGGAATTTGTACTGAAAACAGTAGATATTGATTTGAAATGGAGAAGTACTGTGTGGGGCAGGAGAGGAAAAATGACTAATCAGAAAGTAGGGCTTAGAGGAGAGAGAACCTTGGTTATCCTTAGATCCTGCCACCTAGGATACCACTAAGGACTAGGAACTGACTCCTTTAGCAGTTCCCTTTCAGGGTTTCTACCTCCTTTCCTCCACACTGGCTGACTTATCCTTCCCTTCCTCTGCCACACCCTTTGCTGCCCGTCCCTACCCTACCCCCTTTGCCTGGAACCTCAGCCTCAGACTGCCCTATTGACAAGAAGCTTTTGTCCCTCTGGAGCACTAAGCTCCTGGTGCTGCCTGGGGATGGGGGGGTGGGGCTCAGCTGGAGAGAGTGCTCCTGGGATGATGATCCTTACTGAGTTTTCTCTTCACTAGCTTGCTTTTGTCCTGGGCTAGTAGGGTCTAGAAATAAGGAGATAGGAGCCCTGTCTCTATAGACTCCCCATTCTTCTTTCCAACTCCCCATCCAAGCCCAGAAGATTCAGAGAAACATGTGCCATCTCAGCTCTTAGAGTTTTACAATTCAAGGAATGGATATGGAATTCTAACTTCTGTCTTCTGGCTCCCCAGTGGCCAAACCTGCAGTCACACCCATGAAATCATACAATCATATTGTTCCCACTTCCAAATGTTTTCCAGCTCCCTCTCTTATCTCACCTTCATATCTCCAGCTTCACAGAGGCCTGGATCACTGCCCCACAACCCATCCTTTGTGAACAATTTCTCCTCTCAGTCTGTGAAGACTGGGGGGTAAGTAAGGGATTGAGTTGGTTCAAAAACAAGAAACAAGGGGCTGGGAGAGATGGTTTAGTGGTTAAAAGCATTGACTGCTCTTGTAGAGGACCCAGGTTCAAGTCCCAGAACCCACATGGTGGGTAACTCCAGTTCCAGGGGATCTAACACCTTCTTCTGACCTCCACAGGCAATGTATGCCATGGGTACACCTACCTACATGTAAGCAATACACTCATACACATTAAATAAAGCAAAATAAAATTAAAAAAAGAAGAATCAAGAAACAAGAGGCTGGAGAGATGGCTCAGTGGTAAAGAGCACTGGCTGCTCTTGAAGAGCACCCAGGTTTAATTCCCAGTACCCACATCTGTTAACTCCAGTTCCAGGGGATTCAACCCCCTCTTCTGGCCCTCTCAGGCATTGCATGACATAGGTGCAGTTACATACATGCAGACAAAACACTCAGATACAGAAAATAAATAAAAACAAGAAACAAGCTGGCAAGATGGCTCAGTGGGTAAAGGTACTTTCTGCCAAGACTGATGACCTGGGTTCAATCCCAAGGTCTGGGGTGACAGAAGAAGAGAACCAACTTTAGCAAGCCATCCTCAGACCTATACACACACATACCACCACCACCACCAGCACCAACAATAACAAAATAATTAGCTGTACCAAGAAAAAAGAAAGGATTCAGGCTGTTCCTCAGGCCATGAGAAAGATAACATCCTCAGATCCTCTCTCCAGTGCCCTTCTCCAGGCTTACACAAAACACCAAAGAAAGTAGTGGCTGAGACAGGGGTGTTAAAAAGGGTGTGACCTTCCAGGCTCCCATCCATCTTCCTCCACTTCCTTCCTAGTTGCAGCCACAGTGGGGTTAATAAAGGCAGAGAGTCCAACAGTGGGAGCATACTAAGGGCAGGGACTTAGAATCAGTTGCTAGAACCTTCTGTGACCCCCTAAGACCCTTTTTCTTTCTGGAGCTGGGACAAGGGGAGAGCTGGGTCAGTGCCTTTGTTAGGAGGAGAGCCATAGAGCCAGGACCAGACAGATCAGGCTGCACAAGGTTGCAGATGAAGCTGTAGGAACCTGAGCTATGGAAAGATAGCGTATGTTAAGCCCAAGAGGAGTTAAAGGGTTCTATGAACTTGGGAATTGAGGGATACTTTGAAGTCCCTTCAGAAGATGAGAGCTACCTCAGAGACAGGCAGGGGCAGGGCTTAGGCAGGCAGGGGTATCAATGTCTTTTGCCAACCTTAAGTAGCTCAGATATAGTAAAGCAAATGTTCCCCCAACCCAAACAAGGTCATATGTTGAAGCTTCCTGGAGCAGAAAGAGCTCTCCTTTCAACTACCATCCCCACTCCAGCAGCTTTGTGGTCCCAGGTTTCTAATCACAAGGCCTCTATCCCACTTCCTGTCCTAGCATACAAGCTTAGTTCTACCCCTGGGAGCTAGTCCATGGTTTATGTTCTGCACCCTCCTCCTCAGGCCTGGGCAAAAGCCCTGTTTCTCTTTTTTGCTCTCCAGCTCTCCCAATGAAGGCGACTGGCTTGTTTTTTCTTCTCTGCAAAGACTTATCTTGTGAGGCTGGCGCCCTTCTTCTGACCAGAACTGAGAGGTGGGTGCAAAGCTGAGCAGACAGGAGGGCAGGTGTCTCTGCAGTGAGGCAGAAGGGGGGGGGGCTCCCGGGCAGCTGCAGTTTGCCGCAGTGTGTGTGTGTGAGTGTGCGCGCTGAGCTCAGCCTCCAGCTCCGCCTCCACCCCCCACCCCAGCATGACAAGTCATTTTCTTGGCTGCCTCTGCATGGGGGGGTGGGGTTGGGGGGGCACACAGAGAGGGAGAAGAAACTAGCTTCTCTGTTGAAGAGCCCCCATCTTGGGAAGAAAAGCAGGGATGAAGTGAGGGTGGGGCTGAAACAGGGAACCCTTGGGGTTGACAGGACCCGGAATGCAGGGCAGCTGCTGGAGAGTCAGTGCTCTCAAGCTTCCCGGTGGCCTCAGAGAGGCCACAAAGGGGTGCTTAAAGCCCCAGGCTCAAGCTGGCCACAGGGAATGGGGTGGGGGAACCCACAACAAACCATTTAGCCGTGAAGAGGCACATGCCATGTTTTAATGACCCATTCTTCCTTCTTTTCCAGAGTGTTACCCACCTTCCCTTACTTGGCAAAAACTCGGCTGCCCCACTCACCCCAGCATAGGAGCAGCTGAGCCATAGAGCAGCTGACACTCCAGAGACCCTCCCATTAGGTATGTTCCCAAAACAGCCCCCTTCCTCTCTGATTCTTCTGCCTCTCATCAAAGACATAGCCTCCAAGCTCCTCCAAAGCCCCCAACTGCCAGGCAGAGCCAGTGGCACCACCCTCTGCTGCCGCCTCTCAGCTGATGTCCCCCACCCCCACCTAATGAAGAGGTGGACTGTCACAGCCCCTCTTGATCCCCCTGGTTCTGGATGCAGGCTGACCCCCAGGCCAGTAATGTTCATCTCTTCTCTCCATCTCCCCCAGCCTGCCTGTCTTGCTAGGCTAGATCCAAATGTATCAGATTTACCAGGTTTCTGGTACACCCCATCCCACCTCTCTAATACAGCCCCCTCAAACCTTCCACCATGCCAAGCCCTCCGTTTTGGCTCTTACCCTTTGGTGTGGGAGGAGGCCCCTCATGGAGGCATTGGCTCTGGCCTCAGCCTGGGCAGCTTCGGGGAAGAGTCTGCAGCACTTGGGGTGGGGGTGGGGGGGTGCTTGATGGGGAGGGCGGCGCCAGGGCGGGGAAGAGGGGCTGGTCCATGACGAGGCACTGGAGACTTAACTGTTTCTTGGCCTTCACAATGTCAATGCTCAAGTGCTTCTGCTTGGCCTCTGGGTTGGGTGGGGGCTAAGGGAGAGGGTGGGAGGGTATCTGGCAGTTCAAAGGACCAGGTCTATCTCCTGTGGCTCACTGCACCTTCTCCCTAAAACCTGTTTAGTTAAGAAATACTCTCTCAGCATTAACCAAAAGACCAAAGCCCCATGCGCTAGGACACAAGCTGACTGTGGAGCTGCATGTGCTCTCCTCTTCTCTTAGAAGCCATCTGCTGCCTCCCCCTCAGATGGACTCAGCTTGACCTTCATCCCCTGCAAGAGACAAAGAGGCTGGGGGGCCATGAGTGGGAGGGATGGTAGGGTATGAGAGCTGCACTGGCTGAGCTCTGTTCTGAATGTCAGCTATAGAATGCACTGGGGAGGGCAAAAATAAGTCTCATTTTAGGTTGGAAGGTAGTGTGAAATTCTGGAGTGGGCATGGGCTCCAGCCCACTGGGGCAGGTCACAGAGCCCCTGGGAGCTGCATGCAAGTCTGTGCTAATGCAGCACTGCAGAGCAACCACACAGGCACTGATCCTTGGGATTTCTGAATCATTAATTATGAGAAGGCAATCTCTGAAGGGTAAAGGAGGCTTTCAGTGAAAGAGTTAACCAGGACCAAAGGGGATCACCAGGGCCCTAGGCTCAGGCAAGGTTTTCTTACTATAGACCAGTTATTAAATGTAATAGAGAGTAACTCTTTGGGTTAAAAAAAATTATGATGACTCTGTAGGGTTATCATTTGGGTCCTGATTCTTCCTTGTCTCTGTTCCTTTCTGTATCTTTTTGCTGTGTCTATCTTACATTATCTTGATCCTTCTAATGATGAGCCTATGTCCTTTTGTCTTCTGCCTCAGAATCAAAGGATCTGGAGAGCCCTAACACTCACTTCATTGGGTGATGCTCCTGTTCTCATAGCCTACCTTCCCATTAACCCTCCTCAAGCCTGGCCGGTTTCTTCTAATCACTCACAGGCCAGCACCAGCTCCACCCTTGCCCAAGGCTGCCAAGAATTGCTTTTGAAGGTCAGAGAAGCCAAAATAGTTTCTGCTCTCAGCATCCCCCACCCCCTCGAGCTAGGAGAGGAGTAGCTGAGTCACCAGTACTCTCGGGGAGAAGGGGGAACAGAGGAAGAAGAATCTTTGCTCAGATCCGGGGATGCAAAGCAGCAACATGGCCATATGCCCATTTGGACACACAATGCAAAAAACCCGAGTTCTAAGCATCACAGAGAAGTACCCCTCCAGCAACCTCATTATTCTTACTGCATCGGGCCCCTTTCCTCTCTGCTTTCTAGGGCTCTCTCAGTATTAGGGGGGAACGTCAGTAGACATTGGACTTGAGAACAAAACACTTCCCAGCTTAATGCTGAGCCCACTCCTAGTCTCAGCCACCCCCCCCCACACACACATATCACACATTGGACATGGCTCCAAGTCATAGTCAGCTCTCCTTCCTTCCCCTTCTCTGAACAGCCACTCATAATGACCAGCCCTTAACCCACTGTGGCCCCAACTCTGCTGCAGTGAAACAGTGAGATGCTAAAGAAGAAACAGAGGTTTGACCTCAGACACAAAGTAAGATCAGCGGCCCCGGATTTCACACTTGACTCTACTTTATGAACCAATCTGCAAAACAAGTCACAGAAGCACTCTCAGAGTTCGCTTCCTGAACTAGCAAATGAAAATGCTAGTACTATCCTTCAGTAATGCTGTGAGGACTGATTGGCAGAAAAGATGAAGTATCTCTTCATACCTAGAATTCTAACCCTGCAATTTACACATGTGGCTGGATGCTTTTCTCTGTGGAAGATTTCTGAAAGGTTATCCTAAATCTAAATCTCAGATCAGACTAGCACTGGGGTACCCTAAGTTCTCAGGCAAACCCAGAACTGGGCATGCTTGCAAAATGAGGCTTGAAGTTCTATTCATATCTCTGCTTTCCCATTTCAGACAGCAACGCAAACCTCTAATTCAGGATCCATGGATGGAAATGAAGAGTCAGACAAAAGGGTTTCCTCAACCTGTCTCCCTCCCTCCCTCCCTTCCTCCTTCTTTCTTTCCCTTCTTCCCTCTCTTCCTTTCTTCCTTCTTTCTTCTTTCCTCTTCCTCTTCCTCCCCCACCCCAGACAGGGTCTCTTATAGCCCAGGCTGTCCTTGAACTTTCTATGTACTCAAAAATGATTTTGAATTCCTGATCCTTCTGCCTCCACCTCCCAAGTGCTGGGACTACAGGTATGCACCACACCTTTTCTATAAAAGCTCAGTAGCAGAAGTGTCAGTGGTTACTTTTTTTCAAGATTTATTTTTTTATTTTTATTTTTATTTTTTTGGTCTTTTTGAGACAGGGTCTCTCTGTAAGCCCCAACTGTCCTGGAACTCACTATGTAGACCAGGCTGGCCTTGAACTCACAGAGATTTGCCTGCCTCTGCCTCCTGAGTGCTGGGATTAAAGGCATGTGCCACCACACCCGGTTATTTATTTATTTTTATGTGTATGAGTGTTTTGCTTGAGTGTGTATGTGTGTGTGTGTGCACCATTGGAGGCCAGAAAAGGACATAAGATCCCCTAGAACTGGAGTTATGGATGGTTGTTAGCCACGATGTAGGTACTGGAAACCAAACCTAGGTCCTCTGCAAGAACAGCCAGTACTCTTAACCAATGAGCTACCTCTCCAGTCCTGAAGCATCAGAGTTTTATAGACACTCAGTGTATTGGTTTGTTGCTCCTGACTCCTGGGGGTGAGACCATGGCCTTCTGCATATTAGGTGGGAACTCCACCACTAAGCTGTACCCCAGTCCTTAAACTCAGTTTTCTTTTTTTTTTTTTTTTTTTTTTTGTTTTTTTGGAGCCGGCTCCCCCTGTACCCCCATCTGTCGTGGACCTCATTATGTAGCCCGGCCTAGCTTTGACCCCAAAAAGCCCCCCCTGCCTCTGCCTCTGCCTCCCAGGTGCTGGGATTAAAGGCATGTGTCACCACACCTGGCTAAACTCAGTTTTCTATTATCCTAATTGTTTTTAGGGTTGTGTTAGGATGCTTAGAAGTTCCAGGGTTTTTTGTTTTTTTTTAGGAGGTGGTAATTATAAAGGAAGGCCCCCAAGACACTGCTGAACACTACATGGTGCAAAAGCTACCTTCAAAAGCTTTTACCAGACTTGACCACTAGAAGGAGCTGGGCCACTGACTATCAGAAGACCCCTTCTTTTCCTGTGTGTGTGTGGGGGGGGCGGTAAATGTGGAGGGGCAGGGCCTATGATTAATTGTACTCTTCTTGTCATTGTAGGATATAATTTGTCCTCTTTCTCATCATTTTGACCTAGAGTTTGACGCTAGGTAATGGGAATGGCAATCCATCCTTTGGGGTAGGCAGAAAGGGTCAAGTCATAGGGCACTAGCATATTGCCTTGAGCCCACCCCAGCTGCTTGGTTCCCTGGGCCTCCTCACTCACAGGAGGCTGAAGGGAGAGGCAGTGTCTGCAGCTGCTCTGGGCTGACTATTTGCAGGGACAGCTGAAAGAGGAGTCAGTAGGGGTGGGGCTGTGACTGTCTGAAGCTCTGTTTTGTTTTGTTTTTTCTCAAGGAAATGCTCCACTATTCTCCAATGACATAGTCCACCATAAAAATGTCTAAAACAAACAAAATAAAAATCTGTATGGTAAGCTGGGCGTGGTAGTGCACACCTTTAGTCCCAGCACTTGGGAGGCAGAGGCAGGGGGATCTCTGTGAGTTCAAGGCTAGCCTGGTCTACATAGTGAGTTCCAGGACAGCTGGGGCTACAGGGAGACCCTGTCTCAAATAGACCAAAAAAAAAAATCTGTATGCTAAAAATAAGCCTTAATCTGGAGCAGATGGCCCCAAGTCCCTTGTGGACACCATAGGAAAACTCTGATTGAAAAGGTCAATAGGTGTTTCTGTATTGATGCTTGTTGCTGAGAAGTGATTGAAAAGGCATCTCCCCATGAGCCTCTTCCCAAGCATTCCAGTCATCTTTATCTGAAGAGTGGCTAAGTACTTTGATTTAAGTTCTGGTCATTTCTTACTTTAGTCTAGAAAACCTACTCTCAAGTTTCTGGGGCCAAAAGAACAAAGTTAGAGAATTTGATGTGAATGACTATCAGATAACCCCCAAACTTCAGTTCACTAATTAGTTTAATCCTCTACCATTACTTTATGTTGTCTTGCACTAAAGTTTCCAGGACAACTAAGTGGTAAATTGTTGGCTTTCAGTTATTAGGGATAAATGGAGGCCATCATGACAGGAGTAATTCTAAATAGAAGGCAATCTCAAAAGAGTGTGTGGCTAGCTTGACAGGAAGCCAATCACACCGGGAGGATGCCAGCATCACATTTTTTTAAGTTGGTGTACATATTCAGAGGATAATGGCGCTTTCATCATATTAGCCTAATTTTCTCCAAATTTCTAGCAGCAATTCTAGAGAAATCTTTGATCAGGAAATGATCACAGATCTGCCAGACAGGAGGAGCAGAAAGAGAGGTGACTGTCTACCCTATGGAGAGTTGGGAATTATCTGCATAAGAATTATGTAATTTGGTGGCAATGACTATTGAGCTACATGAAATTCATATTCTATAAAGCTACATGGAAGCTTTATGAAGAAAGCAAGGCATTTGATGAGTACATGCATGTAGCACTCAGGAGAAAGGGGCAGGAGGATAACAAATTTGATGCTATCCTAGATTATGTCAAGGTCAGCTTGGGATACACAGTGAGACTGTGCCTAAAAAAATTGCATGGATTGGTATGTCACATTAACAATAACATGACCAGATGCCCAATACTTTTATGAAGGGATGTTGGACTTTCTGCACTCTTCCCCATAGACATCTGTCATGGAATGATAATTTCTAAAATCTTTTTAAAAAATATTTTATTTATTATTTTTATTTTATGTGTATGAGTGTATTGCCTGCATGTATGTGAGTGCACCTGTGTCGTGTGATGCCGCGGAGTTCAGAAGAGAGCTTCAGACTCCCCTGGAGCTGGAGTTAAGGACAGTTTGTAGCCGCCATGTGGGTGCTGGGAATTGAACCTGGGTCCTCTGCAAGGGCAGTCAGTGCTCTTAACCGCTGAGCCATCTCTCCAACTCCAAGTCCTAAAATCTTATCTCACATTTATAAACTATCTCTCCCACCCAGCAGAATGGGAAGTTACATTTCTTGGAGTTCTTAATCTCAGAACCAAACTAGTTCTTGTAGCAGTGACTCCAGGAGACCCCTTTCCCAGTCTGGATCTTACGGTGTTCATCAGCCTTTGGCACTAGGATTCTGCTCTGCTCTGGAGATCTGTTGATTAAGCCAAGAGGAAACAGAAATCCTCAATCCTGAAGGGTGAGTATTCTGAGATGTCTATAAGGGGAAGTAAGGAGGCTGAGGTATGCAGAAAGGCAAACACAAAGGAGTATGGATTTTTGCATGGAAGTGATTTGATTCCTCAAATACCTTGCTTTCTTCATGCATGATAACTGCTGTCCATAAACAACCCTCTTGGAAAAAACTATGTTCTCCAGGCTCCATCATATCATGTATCTACAAAGTATACTGTGTATGTAGGGATAGCTATGGAGCCCTGCAACATTTCCATCAAAGTCCATTCTTCTCCCCCACCCAAAACTCCCACAAGGCCAGTTCTGGACCAGAGACTGGACCTCTGCTCTACTTTGACCAGCCCACAACCCGAAGGACTGAGACCAATGACCATAGTCCTAACCTTTGACCTCTGAGAAGTGAGCTAGGTGCCGGGTAATGAAGAGTCTCAACTGTTGGTTCAAATCAAAAGATGATAAGTCAATGTTCCAAGAGAGAATCCCTGTGAAAGAAAAAGAAAGAGGGTTCTAGATAAAGTCAGGGGGTAAGACTGCAGCACTTTTCAATCTCTGGGAAGGAGAGGGAGGTGATAAGATTCTGATTACCCCACTAGACATCCTCCAAGGAGGATGGCTACTACCTGTGTGTATCTCCTAATCTGTTTTTAAAATTTTCCTTGCCTGAACTAGAGGGAGAAGAGCTGAGTTTAGACTAAATTTGTTCATAAATGAGTTTATAGGTTTGAAAAAATAGGGCTGTCCAGTGGGAGTGATACCCTAGGGTCTATTCCCAAATACTATTGGTTTCCACCCAGGTCCCCACAGTTAAATTAGAGTCCAGATTCTCCTTCTATGCTCCCTCCCTTGCCTCCACCCCTCCGAGTCTTGCTTCCACCCGCAGGTGGCTCCGCAGCACTGCGCCATAGGCACAGAGAGGTGAGCTGAGTAGCCAGGAAGGTCACTGTCAACTTGGCTGCCGGCATTCAGAAAGCTCCCCATGCTGGTTCAAGGGACTCTTAAAGATGAAACTGTAAGGTAAGTACATAGACTCTCGACGGTCTGGTGAGGACTTTCAGGACATCTGGTTAAGACACTGCGGGAGAGGGGTGTGACCAGAGAGAATCCAGGGGCTGCATAGAGCTCCCCGGCTCCCGGAGGCTGCGGAACGCCAGGAGGTGTGCGGGAAGGGCGGGCAAGCAAGGTGTTGGTGGCTCGGCAGGACACGGACACATGGCATGGAAGGTGACAGGGGAGCAGAAAGTGCACACTGAGATGAGGGATGCCAAGGTGCGCACTGTGAGGTGTATGCAGCTGGAGGAGAAGCACCAGATGGAGTGCTGCTAAACGGCCGGGACAGCAGCTCACCTTGTTCAAGGTGGGCCCGCACGGCCCTCAGCTGACTCTCTGTGCAGATGTCGCCGATCACGATGAGCAGAGAGTATTTCCTCAGGTCCCAGCGTGCCGCCGCTACCGCAGTACCGGCCTCGCACAGCGGCTCGGCGGGGTTCTGAGACAGCTCAGCGCCGAGGCTCGGGAGCCCTAGCCCGGGAGCGGTCTCCATGGCAACACCGGGAGGCCGCGCGGGCCCGGCCTCGGTCGCCATGGAAACGTCGGCTGAGTGCTAGGCAGGCAACCTCCGCGCTGGGGAGAGTGCGCTGGGTTCTTAAAGATCTGCGGCAGGAGCCGCTCATTGGTCGCTGCCTCTCAGGGGGCGGAGCCAAGACGCCGCAGGGGCGGGGCTGGGCGCCGTGGGTAGGGCTCTGCGGATCGGTACGCGGTGGGGTGGCGGCCGCTGTCATCCACTCGCTGTGTAATAGACGGAGATTCTCCTGTGACTCGAGCAGGGGTAGGGCTTTGAGCGACCCAACGGAGCGCTGAGCCAATGGCCTCGGCGCCGTAATAGTTGCTAATTAGGATGTGTCCCCTACGAATACTGTGTGGCAGCTCCGCAGCCTCGTCCAACTGAGGGGAGCCATCTTGTCCCTCACTGACTCAGGGTCCGCACCGTGACCTCCATCTGCTTTTTATTGTCTGGCATCCTCCGTTCTCCCCGTCCCCAACTCCCTCTTCCCCTTCACCTCCCCCTGTCGCTGCCTGCCAGGATCTGGGTCACCATCGGCGTTTCCCTGACCTTGCTCCAGGCTCTGGGTGTGGTCAGAAAGGGTGCGCACTATTGGAGGGGACAGGATGACCTCTGGCCCCAGAGTCCCTGGTGAGTTGTTGTCCCAAGGAGAATGGTTGGCTAGGGTCCATCTCTGCTGAATGCAGAACTAGAGTGCAGTGAGCTCAGACTGCAGCAAGGGGGATTTGAGTTATACCCAAGAAAGACCTTCCCAACTACAAGTGATGTAACAGTGGGTAACCTTAGGAGACTGTGTTAGTGCTGCACAGAACTGAATTCATTCTCTCTCTCTCTCTCTCTCTCTCTCTCTCTCTCTCTCTCTCCTCTCCTCTCCTCTCCCCCCTCTCTCCCTCTCTCCCTCTCCTCTCTCCCTCTCTCCCTCTCTCTCTCTCCTCTCCCTCCTCTCTCCCTCTCTCCCTCTCCCTCTCCCTCTCCCCCTCCTCCTCCTCCCTCCCTTTCTCCTTCCCTCCCTTCCTCCTTCCCTCCCTCCCTCCTTCCCACTGTGTCTCCTGCCCCTTCCTCTCTCCCACTGTATCCTCACCCCTCTGGTGGTGTTGGGGATCAAACTCAGACCCTTCAGTATGTGAGTATTCTACCAATTGAGATACTATATTCCCTGCCAACCCAGGAATTCTCAAAACAGGACAACGTTTGAACCAAAGAAGAGGTGACAATTTCAAAATCAAAGAACCAGGAGCTTGGAAGAGAACCAAAGAGGCCTTGTACTGTTTTATAATTAATTGGAATACCTTTATAAAAATCACTGCTGTGGGGCTGGTTGCAGCTCGGTTGTAGAGCAGTTGCCTAGCATACTAAAGACCCTGGGTTCTATCCTCAGTACCAGGATAATAATGACAATAATAACAATAACAATAATAATAGTGCTACATGCCTGTCTTCCTCCCTTCCTCAATGTGCCTCCACCAACTATTCTACACTACAGCATCTCGTACACTGAATCACTCTGTATTAGTATATATCAAACAGAAAGCCTGTTTTTAGGATGCAGCAGTACTTATTTTTTCTCTCATTTACTTTGCACTCTGGGGATGGTAAAAGAGAAAAGAGGGGCTGGGGGATGTTACCATTGGTAAAGTACTTTCCTTGCAAGCATGAGGATCTGAGTTCAGATCCTCAGAACCCCCAAAGCCATGGTGGAGCACACTTGAGTATTACACACTTGTGCACCAGAGGTGGTCATATGGGAGATGGAGGCAGGAAGATCCCTGGAAGCTTACTGGGCAGCTAGCCTAGCCTATTTGGTTAAGTTCCAGGCAAATGAGAGACCCTGTCTTAAACAAAAAAGTGGAAGGCACTTGAGGTCTAACACTTGGGATTGTCCTCTACCTCTCACATCCATGTACATACACATGCATTTACACACATTCACACACACGCAGCCCCATTCCCTACAAAGACAGAAGAGAGTGCAGTACCTGATTCAAAAGGCTGCCAGTGAGCCACAATCTTATTGTTAAGTACCTCACAGAAATTCTGGCTCCATCAGGAAACACATTATAGCAAAACATCCAGTCCATTCTGTAACTAATTTGGACATGGCCTTGAAAATCCTTTTTGTAGGGGGCTGGAGAGATGGCTCAGTGGTTAAGAACATTGGTTGTTCTTGCAGAAGACCTGGGTTCGAATCCCAGCACCCACATGGCAGCTAACAACTGTCTGTGACTCCAGTCCCAGGGGATCCGACAGCCTCTTCTGATTTCCGTGGGCACTGCATGACATGGGTGCACTTACACACATGCAATACACTCATACACATAAAATAGTAGGGGGAAAAAATCAGTTATGTTATATAGTCCCAGGGGACGACAGCCTCTTCTGACCTCCGCAGGCATTGCATGACACAGGTGCACTTTACCTACATGCAGGCAATACACACATACACATAAAATAAAAATAATAAATAAAATTTTTAAAAAAGAAAATCCTTTTTGTAGCCAAGAAAGGAAAACAAGAGTACTCGCAGAATATCAGATGGTGGGTGCCTCATCCCACCCACCACCAGGTGCAGACCTGAAACTGGAAAGCAGCATGGAAAAACATGCAGTCCTTCTCGTCTACAATCACAAAAGAGTACCATGTGGAACAGAGAGCCAGAATTGGATTATGGGGAGCGGAAGAGGATAGTTTCCATAGCAACTGTAGAGATGAGGCTTTTAACTAGCAGAGGGTCTCGGTCTAAGGGTAAGCGGCAGTTAAGCACAGGGTCTGCTTTCATCAAGTCTAACAGAGGTGAGACAATAGATCTGAATGGTATAGGGAGGAATTGGACAGATTAAATGTTACGGGTCAAAATTCAGGACTGATTTCAGGCCCTGCTAGAATTGAGTCTTAATTACCACTGCAAATGTAGACTGTGATGGCTTACTAAAAGTACATATGTGTGCTGGATAAGTACTCAGCAGGCCATTTGCCAAAGGCAGATAATGTCATGGAAAGATTGGCTGCAGGTACCTCTTCATCATCCTCTTCTGGGTGATGATTCCATTGTCATCATTATATTATCAGAAAATATTCTTAAAGCTGGATGTAGTTGTTGGAGGTGACTATGCAGTCCACTGGCATGTCTCATAACTGAATCCTTTTGTCCATCACATATGGTCTTTTTAGGAACTTCCTCATTCTGTAGCTTCTTTCATAGTCTTGTCAGGTAAGATTGGCGGATATTGTGGTACAACTAATACTTTTGAACTATATGTGTGTGTTGAAGGGTCACTGAATTCTACAGAGGGTCTCTAAGGGTCCACCACTGAAAGAGGAGTTCAGAAGAGGTGCAAGAGGAAGGCACCATTACAGATTTTTCCTAGGCATGCACTAAAGTGTGCGTAAGGCAAACAATAAAGGCCTGGGAAGATAGCTCAGTCTGTAAGTGCTTGCTGTGTAATCTTGAGAACATGAATTTAATTCCCACAACTCACAAAAAAAGCCCACTGTGGTGTACACTTGTAATCCCAGTACTAAGGAAGCAGAGATAGAAAGATCCCTGGGCTCCCTGGCCAGCCAACTTAGCCTGAGTGCCAGGTGCCAGTGAGAAGCCCTGTCTCAAAAAACAAGGTAGGGGACAGGAGAGATGGCTCAGCAGTTAAGAGCACTGGCTGCTCTTGCAGAGGATCCGGGTTCAATTCCCAGCATCTATATGACAGCTAACAACCGTCCATAAGTCCAGTTCCTGGGGATCCCACACCCTCTTCTGACTTCTGCAGTCTTTGCATAACATGGGTACACTTAAATTCATACAGCAATACACTCATACACATGAGAATAAGAAAATAAGAAAAAAAAAAAAAAAAAAAAAAAAAAAAAAAAAAAAAAAAACAAGGTAGAGCCAGGTGTGGTGGCACACGTCTTTAATCCCAGCACTCAGGAGGCAGAGACAGGTGGATTTCTGTGAGCTCAAGGCCATTCTGTTCTGTATAGCAAGCTCAGGGCAGCTGGGGCTATAGGGAGACCCTGTCTCAAAAAGACAAAAAACAAACAAACAAACAAACAAAAAACAAAAAAACACCGGGCATGGTGGCGCATGCCTTTAATCCCAGCACTTGGGAGGCAGAGGCAGGCAGATCTCTGTGAGTTCAAGGCCAGCCTGGTCTACATAGTGAGTTCCAGGACAGCTGGGGCTACAGGGAGACCCTGTCTCAAAAAAAGACAAAAACAACAACAACAACAACAAAGCAAACACACACAAAAAAAAAACAAAAAACAAGGTAGATAACAGTGCTGAGGAACAACACTTGAGGTTAACCTTCGCACACGTGGATACATGGACATGTACCAGCACCACATGAATACACACATACACACTAGCACACATATATGTACCAACATGTACACACACACACACACACACAGAGAACAAGTCTCAAGTGGTATGAAAGGTATTATAACTTTGGCTGTGTTTAAACACATTAGAGAACTCTCAGCCCAAGCCTCTATCAAGTCCTGATGCATAGTGATATTATCTGATAGGTAAGTTAGGCAAAATAGAAGGAGTATTTCTAAAGTTTTTCTGAAGGTTTTATATTTAGTAATTATGTATTGATATTATCCTCATGAGAAAATTCAGAGCTTTATTATAATTAATTAGACTCATCTTGAATTGTGTGTTTATGGGAAGAGAGAACATTACAAAATTTGCAAAGTTTAAGGTTTCTGTCAGACTAAAACCAGCTCCAGTAATTCCTACAGAAAAGATGTAAGTTCTTCCCTTACTTCTAGCCTGATGGATGCCATTAGTTTTTCTGGAGGTTTGAGCTCATGTGGCAGAACTCCTGCCTGCTCTGCTAGGTTGCATGGTCTTATCAACCAAAATATCTAAGAGGAGCTCAGATTCCTACCCTATCCTCATTTTGGTTCTGCCTATGAAGCACTCTTTACACAGAGAGAAGAGTGTTGGATTACAGGATTGCTATGTCAGAGGCTTATCCTTGGCTTTGGGGAAAAATACTATGATCATAATATATACTAGCAGTTATGG